TTGGAGGAGATCGGCAGTGGTTTCACCTGGAGAGGGATGGACTCCGCCAGGTCTACACGCGATGCATGATTGAATGAATACCTGACTTTCAAACTCGCTATGTGGAGGGAACTGGCTGTTGTATTCATATGAAAATCTTCACCATATAAATAATAGTTGATAAACCTGGAGGCTAAACTAATCCTAACCTTGAAGACAAAACTAATAGAGAAATAGTAGTGAATACATTTAACTAATTATAGTTTAAAACAGTGGTCATATAATCAGCAGTACAGCGACCATACAACCACACCGGTCTTGATTAGGAGTATTAGTAGTAGTAGTAGTAGTAATAGTAGTAGTAATCGAATCCTCACGCCAGACGTATCTAGTTGCTCCCTGTCTAGATCTACAGCATGCCTCCTCAAAATTCATCATGCTCTTGGGTAATTTAGATGATTTTAGTATTTTTTTTTTACAATGGGGTTCACCCTGTACAAGGCTCGGGAGCCACTCGAGGTAGAGGGTTACAGAGTAAAAGACACAGTTTATGCGGATATATGGGTAAGATTACAGTTAAGCCTAGCCTTGCAAAGATTAAGATTGTAGTGATCGAGTTGGTTCCACAAGACAGCAGTTCGTGAGAAGAAGCTGCTCAAGTGGAACTTACATCTCATCATTAGAAAACGATGGCGGGTCTTAGCCGTAAAGGCCAGAACTGGTGGAACTAAGGAATATAGTTCATCTGATTACTTTACATGGAAATGGCGATAGAGCAGACAGAGGCTTGCGACGTTTCGTCTGTGTGAAAAGTGTTGTACAGTGGAAAATAATTCATAACCCAAAAGGACGCGGAGACGCTTTTGAACACTATCAAGACTGGAAAATGAAAACTGGGCATCTCATGACCATATATGGCAGTAGCACTGCATTTTTCCGCCTGATTTGGCTCTTGTAAAAGTAGAGGATAACAGGAGAAGTCAGGTACTTACTCGAACGGTACAAAGAACCGACCATTTTTCCAGCATCTTTAGCGATGGATCGTATGTACGAGATCCACTTAAGGTCTGGGTTGATGTTAAGTCCCAATAGGCGTCCAAGACTGGGGAGCTTCCCTGAAGAAACATCCGTTCATCGCGATTGATGTGAGTCCCGGATCCAATCGGCGATAATGTAATGTCGCTAGATTTTTCTTCATTCTTCCTCTGATTTCTAATCCTTTAAACTGCTCCAGGTATGCCAGTAATGACAGGCACTACTATTACTTTCATGTCAGACATTTTGTTCGGTTCTTGAGCAAGGTATTTGTCCAACCTTTCACTCTTTTTCAATTTTATGCATTGAACTAGACGAGCGACATTCACTAAAAAAATAAAAAATAATATCTTTCCTTCTGCCAAGGCTTTATCTGGTCCTCTAAACCAAATGATTTAATCTTTTTGATTTCAAAATACCAGATTTCTTTTTTCTTCTTCTGTAAGATTTTGCTACGTAACATTTTCTAGATGACTCACGACTCTTCCAGCCAAGCAAGAAGGCTGATGAATTGTTTCCCCTGCTAAGAGACATCTCTTAATGCCCGTCAGGTGGCGTGGTAATAAGCATGGTAATTGATATATTTTCTTTGCAAACAATCGTGAAACTAAAACTACTCCTTTTGACTGCTATGTATGTCAACTGCCATGTTTGCAATATAGTCATCTAGAATCGTCAATTAAAGTCAAGTCTTTAACATAGAACTCTCCTTTTTTATTTAAAGGTTTTATTCCCGGTTTCGATTTTGATCAGAGAACTTTTGAACGAATAATTCCTTGAAACCGACAGATTTCGGAATAAAATATCTGCTTTTCGACTGTATTTTTCATAATCAGTCTTTTTTTTTCTCTCTTCAAACACCATGTCCTTTAGAACGTAAGCAATCATCTCTCCACAAATGTCTTCTGTTAATTATCATAGACCGATTAATTCCAACTAGACTTGTTTATTTCAACACCTTGCCGGCCGCTGTACTCTCCAGTCTATACAAAGTGCTCGTCGCATCCGGTAACCATCCGGAAACTTCAAATTTGATTCATGGACTTAGCAAAAATAGAGAGAAAGACACAGAGAGAGTAATGGCATCATAAGGAAGCAATCTGAAATGAATAAGGAAAGACGCCGGATATGACCGGCAAAAGAACCAAGGAAGCATACTTTCCGAGGATCAAATAAAAGATTCCGTTTGACATTCTCGGAAGGTTATCGAAAGGACTCCTACGCTTTTCCTCTCTTTGGGCTTTAGGATAAAGCTCTTATTGGAAAATTCATAACAATCGTCAAGAAGAGAAAGTTGAAATAAGAGCCAAGAATCTTTCCACTACCATCCTACAAGATACCACCTCAGTCAAAAGGAGGCAGACAGGGAAAAATGAACCGACAATGTCACTGATTGGACTGGAAAGATCAATCTTAGAGACTGAAAGAATGGCACGAAACTGAGACATCTGGAGGAAGCTGGTCATGTGCTCAACCGCCCTATAGCCACACCCGATCACGGGCATGATATCGAATAAGAAAGCCTCGTAAGTAGAGCGGTTAAAACACTTATAAAAACAACAAAGACCAAGAAAATAGTTGGA